GGCCTCCCCCCAGCCCCAGGCCAGGATCTCCCCCTTCCCGGTCGTGACAACCGCAGATGGCCCCGACGCCAGGGAGGGTTAGTGCCTCCTGGGGCGGGATTGCGGCCGGGAAGAACCGCCCTCCTAACCCCTAAGGAACCGCAGGGATGGAGAGCGCGCCCGGGATGTCCGGGCTCAGCGCGGGGTGGGTGGAGAATGCGGAGCGAGCCGTCCCCAGAGGCCGCCGGGCTGCAGGCGAGAACCCTCCCAGCCAGGACGCTGCGGCTCTGCCTGAACCCCAGGCCCGGGGAGCGCCGCGACCCAGGGCGAACACCCGCGTTTGGCCCCTGCCCGGTGCTGAGAGAGGCCGGAGCGGCGTCCCCAGAGGCGGAGCGGGAGCCCCACGTCCAGCGGCCACGGTAGAAAGGAGGAAAGAAATGGGTGGTAATAAGTAAAATAAATCGTATGAAACATAAAACAAGGCTGGGCGCGGTGGCTCACGCCTGTAATCCCAGCACTTTGGGAGGCCGAGGTGGACGGATCACCTGAGGTCAGGAGTTCGAGACCAGCCTGGTCAACATGGCGAAACCCAGTCTCTACTACAAATACAAAAATTAGCCGGGTGTGGTGGCGGGTGCCTGTGGTCCCAGCTAATTGGGAAGGCCTGGAGGGCAGGAGCGAGATCACTGCACCCAGCTGGGAAAAAAAAAAAAAAAAAAAAAAAAAAAAAAAAAGCCCGGGGAGGTTGGGAGGGTGCCAGTGAGCCGAGATCGCACCACTGGCACCTCCAGCCTGGGGTGACAAGGAGTGAAACTCCCAGGCCTCCAAAAAAAAAAAAAAAAACAAAACAAAAACAAAAAGCCAAAAAAAAAAACCAAAGGGGCCGGGCGGTGTGGCTCAAGCCTGGTAATCCCAGCACTTTTGGGAGGAGGCCAAGACGAGTGTTTTTTTTTTTTTTTTTTTTTTTTTTTTTTGGATCACGGAGGTCAGGAGATCGAGACCACACCTGGCTAACCACCGGTGAAACCCTGTTTCTACTAAAAATACAAAATAGCCGGTGGTGGCGGGCCGGTAGCACCTACTCGGAGTGAGCAGGGATTGCTTAACCCAGGTGGCTGCATGACTGAGACGTGCCACTGCACTAGCTGGCGATAGGCGAGATCGTCTCCAAAAAAAAAGCAAAATACAAAATTACCCAGGAGGCAGAGGTTGCAGTGAGCCAAAATCGCACCACTGCACTCCAGCCTGGGCAACAGAGTGAGACTCCATCTCAAAAAACAGGGCTTTTAAAGAAACAGTTCAGTGTTTTTTATGGTGTTTGCAACATCGTGCATACACCAACTCTCTAGTCTCAAACCCCGGGAGGGCAATTCATAGACAATTTCAGTGTCTCTCCACTGATGTGCGTGTGGCTTGCGCCCTTCTAGCCTCCTAGCCCCAAGGGGGAGGCCTGTGCGGCTCCTGGCTGGGCCCCCGTCTTCAAAGCAGCTCTTGAGTGGCCCTTTAATCCGTGAGACGGGGCCGTGGAAGCTGGGGTGAGCCTGGAGATGGCCTTGGGAGCACCAAGGCGTCAGAGCAGCTGACGAGGGCCCCCAGCCCCGCCTCTCCCCCGGGCAGAGTCAGCCCCAAGCCAGCTCTTACCATAGTGTGCCTCCTGCCCCATGGATCCCCATCCCCACAGACCCCTCCTGATCAGCTCAGGTGGGGCTGCTTTGGAGACCACACCAGCATCATCGCCTGAGGCTCCATGTCCAATTTCCCGGGGGCTGCTGGGACTGAGCACTGCCCCAGCCCCTCACCAGGCGGTTACTGACCCCAGGGAGGCCCGTCGGCCCTGCCCAGGCTCCGTGACGTGGTCAGCTCGGCCGGCCTGCAGGGAGGGGCTCGACTCCTTCAGGGACCTGTGCCAGGTGGGCCACAAAGATCCTTCCTCCTCAAACCTGATGTGGGTGCCAGACCCACCCCCAGTGTGGGCTTCATGGCTAAAACTCCACACATACACACGCACACATGCATGCACATGGCTACTTGTTCAACCCCCTCCTGCAGCCTCCATCAATCTCATCCCGCCCCCACTGTCCTTGAGACCCTCAGGCCTGGGGTCCTTGGACTGGGTTCAAGCCTTGCCCAACAAGGAGGGCCTGCCCTGATGGGGGTCCTCACTCCAAAGAAAAAGCCGTGAGGACCCCAAAACTGACCAGTGGGTGGGAGCCAGGAGAGCTGGCCCAGCTGGGTCAAGAAGGGTCTGTCAGGGCCTGGAGGCGTGCTCAGCTCCTAGACACTGGCACCCCCACAGCCCCTTCCCCTTGGCAACACAGTCATCTGGAACACTCCCCCCGCGACTGTGGACAGGGAGGCCAGGATGTGGGGTCTGGGGCTGGTGGGACAGCTGGGACCCTCCATGGGAAGGGGGCTTCCTGCCGGAGGCCGCTGAGGACAATGCTGGGAAGGGGATCGATGTTGGAGGCGGGGTCAAGTCTCCTAAGGACAAAAGGGAGGTCCCCGTTGGCGGTAGAAGAAGATACCGTGCTGTGGGACTAGGACTCAGACGCAGGGGTCTCGGGTCCTCCCCAACCGCAGGCCTCTGGCCCACCTCGGTCTCTCCATCCCTCTGCTTCTGCCTCTCTGTGTCTCCGTCTCCTTGTGTCTCTCTGCCTTGTCTCTCTTCCTCACTCTGTCTCTGTCTCTCTGTGTCTCTGTTTGTCTCTGTGTCTCCCTCACCCCCACCTTCCCCACCTCTGACCCTTTAAACCTGCGGGTCCCTCTGCCTCTGGGAACCCTCCTCCTCCTTCCTGTGTCCATCCCACCCGCCCTGTCCTGGGGGGCACTCCAGCTTTGTCTTGTCCCCGCCCCACAAGCCTGTGGATGTGAGGGCTCCCCACGCAGGGAGTATGAGCAGCGTGACCACCACGTGTGACCCAGCGGGCCGGCGCAGGACAGGGTCCTGGAGAGCTGGGACACACCCTGCAAGGGGCCTCAGCCCTCCTAGCGCCCAGCGGCCCCTCCCCACCTGCAGGAAGTGGGGTCAGGGGCTGGGAAGCAGCCTATTCACCAGGCCTGCTGCCCCCCGCCCGGGTTAAGGGCCCAGCTTCCCGGGAAGGGCCTGCACCTCCGGCCTGGGGAGGGCCTCTCCTTGGAGTCTGCCTTCCGGTGAGGCCTTTCCCGGCACCGGCCTGGGCAGGAGGGGGATGGGACCCAGGGAGACAGGGCTGTGAGCTAACCTCCCAGGGACCTGTTTCCCCACCCTGGGCCTCAGTTTCCCTCCTCTAGGCCTCAGTTTCTCTCCTTTGCACTCAGCCCCTCCTCTGACCCTCAGTTTCCCTCCTTAGCACCCAGCCCCTCCCCGATCCTCATTTTGCTTCCTCTGCACCCAGCCCCTCCCCTAGGCCTCAGTTTCCCTCCTTTGCACCCAGGCCCTCCCCTGGATCTCAGTTTCCCTCCTCTGATCCCAGCCCCGCCCCCGGGCCTCAGTTTCCCTCCTCTGATCCCAGCCCCTCCTCTGGGCCTCAGTTTCCCTCCTCTGACAGGTAAGCCGATTGGCAATGCTTGGAACCCCATGGACTGCTGCTTTTTATTTCATGGCCAGGGAAACTGAGGCACAAACAGACCCTGAAGTCAACAGGAATGCTCCATCATTTTATTCCTGCGTGCCTGCGGTACGTGGGTTCCAGGGTCACAGGGACGGGCCCCCAGGTGGAGGGGAGCCAGCCATCACGACTGCCACTGCAGGCCCTCGTTGAGCTTGGAGGGGAGCACCCTGGGAACCGCAGCGGAGGAGGGTGGGGGGAAGGCGTGGGCAGAACCTGGGCAAGGTGAGGAGCAGCTGTGCAGAAGCCCAGAGGCCGGGGGAGGGTCCTGGTGGTGCAGGGCTCTTGAGGGCCGGGAGCCTAAGGGGTGTCAGTGTGCCCAGAGGGGTAAACAAGCCACAAGGGGAAACAGAACCAGAGTTGGGGCCTTGGAGGAACAGATGGGTGGATTCCAGCACGTTTGCAAGGTGAGGTTCCCACGACTCGCTGACGGCAGCTGTGAGTGGGGGCCCAGCCAGCATTCCTTCCAGATCCCTCTTGTGGACGGAGATCCAGGTCTCAGTGTAGACCAAGGAACAGAGGTAGCCCCCACTGGGACTCCCAGGCTCCAGCCAGGCCTGCTAGGTAGGCGGCCTCTGCCCATGTGATGGAAGGAAGCCAGGCTCAGAGATTGGGTGACTTGTCCCAGGTCCTGGAGGGTCGCACAGCTCCACGACGGCCAGGAGACCCCAGCCAGGGGGCCTCCATCCCCAGCGACCTTCACCTGACCCCAGGGGACCCCAGCCCACAAGACGTGGCCGCAGCGCCGGAGCAGGCCGAGGCTGCTCCCCACCGCCCCTGTGCGGCCGCCCGAGAAAGTGCAGGCGGGCCGGGAGCGGTGGCTCAGGCCTGTGATGGGAGGTGGGCGGATCACCTGAAGTTGCTAGTTCGAGGCCAGCCTCACTAACATGGAGAAACCCCGTCTCTACTAAAGATACAAAATTAGCCGGGCGTGGTGGCAGGAACCTGTAATCCCAGCTACTCAGGAGACTGAGGCAGGAGAATCGCTTGAACCCGGGAGGCAGAGGTTGCGGTGAGCTGGGATCACGCCAGTGCACTCCAGCCTGGGCAACAAGACCGAAACTCCGTCTCAAAAAAAAAAAAAAAAGGAAAAAGCGCAGGGGACCCGCCGTCGGGGCGGGGCAGCGCTGCCCGGCCTCTGTCCCACTTCCATGCACTTGACCTCGACCCTCCGGCCTCCGTCTGCGATCTTCCCGTGTACCTGAAAATGAGGCCTGGAACGGACCCGACCTTCCTGCCCGCCCGTCCTGACCGGCCCCGGGGGCCCCCGCCCCATCTTTGGCCCCCAGCCCCTCCCTCTCTGCCGCCTCCAGGGTCGGGGGTCAGGCCGGGAAAGCCCCTTGGGAAGCCCCCGGGGGGCAGCTGGAGCGGGTCGCGGGGCGGCGGGAAGGAGCGGGCGCCGCTATTTAAGCGGCTTCCCGAGGCCTCGGGGACAGAGGGGACCGAGCATGGATCGGGGCCTGGCCCTCCTGCTGGCGGGGCTTCTGGGGCTCCTCCAGCCGGGCTGCGGTGAGCAGGGGAGGGGGCGCGGGAGAGAGGAGGGAGTTAGGAGGGGGGTCAGGAGAGGGGAGAGGGTGAGGAGGGAAAGGGGCTCAGCAGAGGGGAGGGGGCACAGGAGAGGGGAGGGGGCGCAGGAGGGAGGAGGGGGCTCAGGAGAGAGGAGGGGGCGCAGGAGAGGGAGGGGGCGCAGGAGAGGGGAGGGGGCGCAGGAGAGGGGAGGGGGCGCAGGAGTTGGGAGGGGGCGCAGGAGAGGGGAGGGGCGCAGGAGAGGGGAGGGGGCGCAGGAGAGGGGAGGGGGCGCAGGAGAGGGGAGGGGGCGCAGGAGTTGGGAGGGGCGCAGGAGAGGGGAGGGGGCTCAGGAGAGGGGAGGGGGCGCAGGAGAGGGGAGGGGGCGCAGGAGGGGGGAGGGGGCGCAGGAGGGGGAGGGGGCGCAGGAGGGGGGAGGGGGCGCAGGAGAGGGGAGGGGGCGCAGGAGAGGGGAGGGGGCGCAGGAGAGGGGAGGGGGCTCAGGAGAGAGGAGGGGGCGCAGCAGAGGGTAGGAGGAGCAGGAGGGAGGACGGGGCTCAGGAGGGAGGCTCAGGAGAGAGGTGGGGGCTCAGGACTGAGGAGGGGGCTCAGGAGAAGGGAGGGGGCGCAGGAGAGGGGAGGGGGCGCAGGAGGGAGGAGGGGGTGCAGGAGAGAGTAGGGGTGCGCAGAATTAGGGGTTCGACAGAGGGGGTGATTGGTGATCCTGCCAGAGGAGGGGGCTCAGAGAAGGCAGGGGCTGAGAGAGGAAGTTGGGGGGCTCCGCGCCGCCCTCTGACCAGCAGCGAAACCGGCTCCAGGCAGACAGGGCTCGGGGGACTGGGGCTGAGGCGGGGGTCGGGGCGGGGTTCAGGGACAGAGCCTGGGAATCCTGGTAGCGGCGAGGCAGTGGACCGGGAGTGGGGCGGAGGGTCCGGGAACCGGGCAGAGGTGGGGCGGGGGTCCGGGGGTGCAGGGGAGGGTCCGGGAACCGGGCAGAGGCGGGGCGGGGGTCCGGGGGTGCAGGGGAGGGTCCGGGAACCGGGCAGAGGCGGGGCGGGGGTCCGGGTGTGGAGCGGAGGGTCGGGGAACCCGGCAGAGGTGGGGCGGGGGTCCGGGTGTGGAGCGGAGGGTCCGGGAACCCGGCAGAGGCGGGGTGGGGGTCCGGGGGTGCAGGGGAGGGTCGGGGAACCCGGCAGAGGCGGGGCGGGGGTCCTGGGATGCAGGGGAGGGTCCGGAAACCCGGCAGAGGCGGGGCGGGGGTCCGGGGGTGCAGGGGAGGGTCCGGGAACCGGGCAGAGGCGGGGCGGGGGTCCGGGAGCGGGGCGGGGCGCAGGGCAGGGACTCGGGGCGGGGTCCGAGACTCCGCGGGGCTGAGCGAGAGCCGGGGTCGCCGCAGGCCAGTCCCTCCAGGTGAAGCCCCTGCAGGTGGAGCCCCCGGAGCCGGTGGTGGCCGTGGCCCTGGGCGCCTCTCGCCAGCTCACCTGCCGCCTGGACTGCGCGGACCGCGGGGCCACGGTGCAGTGGCGGGGCCTGGACACCAGCCTGGGCGCGGTGCAGTCGGACGCGGGCCGCAGCGTCCTCACCGTGCGCAACGCCTCGCTGTCGGCGGCCGGGACCCGTGTGTGCGTGGGCTCCTGCGGGGGCCGCACCTTCCAGCACACCGTGCGGCTCCTTGTGTACGGTGAGGCGTCCCCCCGCCCTGCCTCTCTCTGACCCTTGGACTCACGGCCCCTTCCCTACGCCACCTGTTCCTGGAAGCCTCCCGGATTGCAGGCCCGGTCCCAGCTCCATGCACAGCTCCCCGAACCCAGGTCCCCAGTCTTCGCTTCCCCCCAACTCACCCCAACCCTCCCAGGGCGGGCCCTGGCCCATCCTTCAGTCTATTCCAGCTTCCCAGGGTGGGGCCTGCGCACAGGCCGTCCCCACTGCCGGTTCATCAGCAACCCCCACGCATCCTTGGCCCCAGCTCCAAGCCCCCTCCGAGCTCCAGCCCCTCCATCCCGTCCAGCCCTGACTCTGGGCTCAGCCCTGACCCCTGACCCTCCATCACAGCCTTCCCGGACCAGCTGACCATCTCCCCGGCAGCCCTGGTGCCTGGTGACCCGGAGGTGGCCTGTACGGCCCACAAAGTCACGCCTGTGGACCCCAATGCGCTCTCCTTCTCCCTGCTCCTGGGGGACCAGGAACTGGAGGGGGCCCAGGCTCTGGGCCCGGAGGTGGAGGAGGAGGAGGAGGAGCCCCAGGAGGAGGAGGACGTGCTGTTCAGGGTGACAGAGCGCTGGCGGCTGCCGACCCTGGCAACCCCTGTCCTGCCCGCGCTCTACTGCCAGGCCACGATGAGGCTGCCTGGCTTGGAGCTCAGCCACCGCCAGGCCATCCCGGGTGAGTCCGCTGGGTCCCCTGGAGACCCAACCGCTCGCCAGCCTTGACAGGCACTTCGGGATGGGGTACGGGGGGCAGCACCTGTGCTGTGGGGCGCTGGGAGGATTGGATTCCCCCACGCGGCCAAAGCGATATTCATTAACTCAACGTGTATTTACTGAGCACCCGGCCCCCAGCACAGGTCCCACCCCTTCCCTCCCCACAGCGCTCCACGGCTCCTGCCTTGGGGTCAAAGCCTAAGTCCTCCCGGGGGCCCACAGGAACCTGCACCACCTGCCCTGTCCCTTCCTGCCCTCCCTCCACCCTCTCTCCCCCTCCTCATTCTGCTCCAGCCACACGGGCCTCCTCGCTGTTCCTCCAACACGCCAGGCATGATCCTGTCCTGGGGCCCTTGCACGGCTCTGCCCTCTGCCTGGAATACCCTTCTTCCGGATCTTTCCACGGCTCTCTCCTCCTCCCCCTCAGGTCTCTGCCTGAGTGTGGCCTCCTCCGTGAGGCTTCCCTGGATTCCCGTTTAAAGGGTCAACCCTCGACCCCCAACGTGTACAAACGCAGGCACAGACGCACACACGTGTACAAACACAGGCGCACGCGCACATGCGTGTACAAACAGGCACACCCACGTGCACAAACACAGGCACACATGCACACGCGTGTCTAAACACGCACACCCGTGTGAGCCCCTTTTCCCTTCTGTTCTGTTTCTTGACACCTTGGATAATATCTGATATCCCCCAATCACATACCTTCTCTGTCTTTTCCACGACCTTCTCCCACTGTGGCTCCCAAGGTGGGAATCTTGTGTCTTGCGCACACGGCTGTGTCCACAGAAGCTAGAACAGGGCAGGTGCTCAATAAACCCTCGCTGAATGCCCAGATGAAGACATTTAACGTGGGCCGGTGCCCAGGGAGTACCAGCTTCACGCCCTGTCCAGTCCTGAAGCCGCTGCCGGCTTCTCCCACTAAACAGAGAGGGATCTGTCCTCCCACAGGGCACCCTGATACCCATGTTAATGCGTGTGGGGTCATGAGTTTCAAGCAAAGGGCTCCCGGGGTTGCAGCAGAAGCTGGGAGACCCGGGAGGTCTTGGTGGTGGGGGTGGGGCTGGGGTGGGTAGAGAGGAAGCTGGATTTGAGGGATATTTTACAGAACACGGGTCCTCTCGGGCCTCAGTCTCCCCATCAGTCCCACAGGGGATGAAGTACAAAGCCAGAGCAGAAAGCCCCCAAGCACCTCCTCTCTCCACACCAGCCTCCTCCCAACTCTCCTCCGTCCACAGCCCATCATAATAAACGCGGGAGCCCGCTCACTATCACGGCAGCCCAAAGAGGTGACTCTCACCCCTTTGACAGTTGAGGAAACTGAGGCACGCGGAGATTAAGGAGCCTGCCGGGGTGATGTTGCCAGTGAGTGGGGGCCGTGGAATGCCCGGACTCCCATCCTGCCCACTGTGGTACCTCAGTTTCCCCATCTGTCCAGTAGACTTCCCTGACTGTGGGTCGTTTGTAAATTTCAGGGACCATGTAGCTTTCAAAGCACTTTATAAATTCTAGGTTTTAGGCCGGGTTCACGCCTCTAATCCCAGCACTTTGGGAGGCTGAAGTGCGTAGATCACCTGAGGTCAGGAGTTCAAGACCAGCCTGACCAACACAGTGAAACCCCATCTCTACTAAAAATACAAAAATTAGCCAGGTGTGGGGGTGCACACCTGTAGTCCTAGCTACCCAGGAGGCTGAGGCCGAAGAATCGCTTGAACCTGGGAGTTGGAGCTTGCAGTGAGCCGAGATGGCGCCATTGCACTCCAGCCTGGGCGACCGAGTGAGACTGTTTCAACAACAACAACAACAAATTCTAGGCTTTATCAACTAGAATAGCATGCCGAATAGAAACAAAAATGTGGGCCGGGTGTTGGAGGCCGAGGTGGGAGGATCACTTGAGCGCAGGAGTTCCAGACTAGCCTGGGCCACATAGCGAGACCTCCCATCTCTACAAAAAATTTTAAAAATTAGCTGGGCATGATTGCACGCCTGTGGTCCCAGCTACTCAGGAGGCTAAGTGGGGAGGATGGTTTGAGCCTGGGAGGTTGAGGCTGCAGTGTGCCATGATTGCAACACTGCACTCCAGCCTGCATGACAGACTGAGACCCCATCTCTAAAAAAAAAAAAAAAAACCAGGCCAGGCATGGTGTCTCACGCCTGTAATCCCAACACTTTGGGAGGCCGAGGCGGGTGGATCACCTGAGGTCAGGAGTTCAAGGCCAGCCTGATCAACATGGAGAAACCCTGTCTCTACTAAAAATACAAAATTAGCCGGGCGAGGTGTCGGGCGCCTGTAATCCCAGCTACTCAGGAGGCTGAGGCAGGAGAATCGCTTGAAGCTGGGAGGCGGAGGTTGCAGTGAGCCGAGATCGTGCCATTGCACTCCAGTCTGGGCAACAAGAGCGAAATTCTGCCTCAAAAAAAAAAAAAAGAAGAAGAAATGGAAATGGGACCCACCAGAGGGGTCGAGGAAAGGGGTTTGGGGAAGTTCTGGTCCAAGCCCTTGTCCAGATGCAGAGACTGAGGTGGGAGAGGCAGGGCTGGGGCAGCAGAGAGAAAAACAACCGTCACTCTGTTTCCAGTCCTGCACGGCCCGACCTCCCGGGAGCCCCCCGACACGACCTCCCCGGAACCCCGGGCCGCGACCTCCCCGGAGACCACCCCCCAGCAGGGCTCCACACACAGCCCCAGGAGCCCGGGCTCTACCAGGACTTGCCGCCCTGAGATCTCCCAGGCTGGGCCCACGCAGGGAGAAGTGATCCCAACAGGCTGTGAGTGCTGGTCCCTGGGGGCAGGGAGGGTGGGAAGGGCTGAGAGCGAGAGGTTCCTTGGATGAAGACTTTAGACAAGAAATTGCCCTGTCCAGCTTCAGTTTCCCTGTCCATCCTGCCTTGGTTTCCCCGTCCGTCCAGCTTCAGTTTCCCTGTCCATCCTGCCTCGGTTTCCCCATCCGTCCAGCTTCAGTTTCCCTGTCCATCCTGCCTTGGTTTCCCCGTCCGTCCTGCCTCGGTTTCCCTGTCTGTCCAGCCTCGGTTTCCCCGTCCGTTCTGCCTCGGTTTCCCCATCTGTCCAGCCTCGGTTTCCCCATCTGTCCAGCCTCGGTTTCCCCGTCCGTTCTGCCTCGGTTTCCCCATCTGTCCAGCCTCGGTTTCCCCATCTGTCCAGCTTCAGTTTCCCCGTCCGTTCTGCCTCAGTTTCCCCATCTGTCCAGCCTCAGTTTCCCCATCCGTCCAGTCTCTGTTTCCCCATCTGTCCAGTGGGCTTCTCTTAACTGTAGGTCCTTTTTGTAAACGTCACAGACTGTGCAGATTTCAAGGCACTTTGTAAATTCTCAGCCTCATAGACTAGAACAATCTTTGGAACAGAAGCAGAAACAGAATGTGGTCACATAAGTAATTTTTTTCCTTTTTTTTTTTTTTTGAGACAGAGTCTCGCTTTGTCCCCCAGGCTGGAGTGCAATAGTGCAATCTCAGCTCATTGCAACCTCCGCCTGCCGGGTTCAAGCGATTCTCCTGCCTCAGCCTCCTGAGTTGCTGGGATTACAGGCGCCCATCACCATGCCTGGCTAATTTTTGTATTTTTGGTAGAGACGGGGTTTCACCATGCTGACCAGGCTGGTCTCGAACTGACCTGAGGTGATCCGCCCGCCTCAGCCTCCCAAAGTGCTGGGATGACGGGCGTGAGCCACTGTGCCCGGCCCACATAGGTAACGTCAGAAATGCTTGTTCCCCGGTGCCACAAATAAATAGCACTCAAATTTAATTCTCTCAGTAAGGCCATTTTTACTTTCTGGAGAAAGGGTGCCCGTTGCAGATGGAACAGTGACGGGAGCACACCTGGACAAAGGAAAAGCAGACATATTTATCCCTTATGCATTTGGGTCTTCCTTTTTTTTTTTTTTTTTTGAGACGGAGTCTTGCTCCGTTGCCCAGGCTGGAGTTCAGTGGCGCGACCTCGGCTCACTGCAAACTCCGCCTCCCGGGTTCACGCCATTCTCCTGCCTCAGCCTCCCGAGTAGCTGGGACCACAGGTGCCGCCACCGCGCCCGGCTAGTTTTTTGTATTTTTAGTAGAGACGGGGTTTCACCGGGTTAGCCAGGATGGTCTCGATCTCCTGCCTCGTGATCCACCCGCCTCGGCCTCCCAAAGTGCTGAGATTACAGGCTTGAGCCCCCGCGCCCGGCTGGGTCTTCCTTACTGCTATGTCCTGCATCCACTGGCTGGAGCGGGACATCACGGTCTTAAACTGATACCCCGTTTGCTAACAACCTAAAACTTTCCTAAATAGATAAGTGCAAAGGAGGACAAAGGAGAGGAAGTTGCTTACGAGAGATTTAAGGAAGCGATAACGTTTCCAAATAAGGAAGGGGCATAAGCTGTGAGCGAAGACTTGCCTGGGACTGTCTGGACACGCCTGGGTAAGCCCAAGCAACTAACTGGGCTAAAGTGTAAGAAATAATAGCTGATAGGAGGCTTTAGAGTAAGAAGCTATTATTTCTAGTGTCTATAATTTTATTTTTAAACCAAGACGAGCTTTGAAGAGGAACTTTTCTACTTTCTACAGGTAATTTCAAATTTAAAAGTAAAGGCCAGGCGCGGTGACTCATGCCTGTAATCCCAGCACTTTGGGAGGCTGAGGCGGGCAGATCACGAGGTCAGGAGATCGAGACCATCCTGGCTAACACGGTGAAACCCCGTCTCTATTAAAAATATAAAAAATTAGCCAGGCGTGGTGATGGGCGCCTGTAGTCCCAGCTACTCGGGAGGCTGAGGCAGGAGAATGGTGTGAACCCAGGAGGAAGAGCTTGCAGTGAGCCGGGATCACACCACTGCACTCTGGCCTGGGCAACAGAGCAATATTCCGTCTCAAAAAAAAAAAAAAAAAAAAAAACAGTAAAAGTAAGTGTGGTCAGGCCAAGCACAGTGGCTCATGCCTGTAATCCCAGCACTTTGGGAGGCAGAGGCAGGAGGATCACTTGAGCCCAGGAGTTCAAGACCATTCTGGGCAACATAGTGAGACCCCCATTTCCACACCAAAAAATTGAAAAATTATCCGGGCGTGGTGCTGTATACTTGTGGTCCCAGCCACTTGGGAGGCTGAGGTTGGAGGATCACTTGAGCCCAGGAGATTGAGGCTGCAGTGAGCTGACAAAGAAAGACTCAGTCGCAAAACAAACAAACAAAAAGGTTGGCCAGACATGGTGGCTCACGCCTGTAATTCCAGCACTTCGGGAGACTGAGGAGGAGGATCACCTGAGGTCAGGAGTTCAAGACCAGTCTGGCCAACATGGTGAAACCTCATCTCTACTAAAAATACAAAAATTAGCCAGGTGTGGTAACGGGCACCTGTAGTCCCAGCTACTCAGGAGGCTGAGGCAGGAGAATCACTTGAACCCAAGAGGCAGAGCTTGCAATGAGCCGAGATTGCACCACTGCATTCCAGCCTGGGGAACACAGCGAGATTCCACTTCAAAAAAAAAAAAGTGTGGTCATACATTTCATGGAGCCCAATATATCCCAAGTATTATCATTTCAACAGGTAATCAGTATAAAATGGTATGAAGGAGATATATTACACTCCTCCTTTTTCCCCAAACTAAGTCTTCAAAGTGCAGATTGCAGGCTCAGCACCCTTTTGTGTGTGTGTGTGCGACAGAGTCTCACTCTGTTGCACAAGGCTGGAGTGCAGTGGTACGATCTCGGCTCACTGCAACCTCCGCCTCCCGGGTTCAAGTGATTCTCCCACCTCAGCCTCCTGAGTAGCTGGGATTACAGGCGCCTGTCACCATGCCCGGCTAATTTTTGTATTTTTAGGAGGTACAGGGTTTCCCCATGGTCAGGCTGGTCTCGAACTCCTGAGCTCATGATCCGCCCGCTTCGGCCTCCCAAAGTGCTGGGATTTCAGGCGTGAGCCTCCGCGCCCGGCCTGGACTGCCCATTTCTAAACTCTAAGGTGCTATGCGCGTTTTGAAAGGGTCACAAAGGTAAAGTCCTTTGTGAAATTTCAGGGAATGTGGTAACTCTGGAAGCTCGTGTAGCCTCTGAGGGACTCCTCCCTTCCCAAGCCTGCAGAAGCCTGGAGGGCTCTGACCGGCGTCTCCTGCTCTCCCCAGCGTCCAAACCTACGGGTGACCAGCTGCCCGCGGCTCTGTGGACCAGCAGTGCGGTGCTGGGACTGCTGCTCCTGGCTTTGCCCACCTACCACCTCTGGAAACGTTGCCGGCACCTGGCTGAGGACGGCGCCCACCCACCAGCTTCTCTGAGGCTCCTGCCCCAGGTGCCGACCTGGGCTGGATTAAGGGGGACCGACCAGGTCGGGAGTAGCCCCTTCTGAGTAGCCAGCCCTTCCCCCTGTGAAGGGAAAATAGGTTGGACCCCTTCAAGCTGAGAACTGGTCGGGGCAAACCTGCCTCCCATTCTATTCAAAGTCATCCCTCTGGTCACAGAGAGGGACGCACATTCTGATTGCCTCCTTTGGAAAGGCTCATCAGAAACTCAAAAGAAGGTGATCGTTTGTCCCGCCTACCCGTGACCTGGAAGCCCCCGCCCCGCTCGAGTGACCCCTGACTTTCTGGACGGAACCAACGTACTTCTTACATATATTGATTCATGTGTCATATCTCCCTAAAATGCGTAAAACCAGCTGTGCCCCGACCACCTTGGGCCCCTGCCGTCAGGACCTCCTGAGGCTTTGGCAAATAAACCTCCTAAAAGGATAGAAACTGAAACTTGTGGCCGGGCGCGGTGGCTCAAGCCTGTAATCCCAGCACTTTGGGAGGCCGAGGTGGGTGGATCACGAGGTCAGGAGATCGAGACCATCCTGGCTAACCCGTGAAACCCCGTCTCTACTAAAAAAATACAAAAATTAGCCGGGAGCGGTGGCGGGCGCCTGTAGTCCCAGCTACTCGGGAGGCTGAGGCAGGAGAATGGCGTGAACCCGGGAGGTGGAGCTTGCAGTGAGCTGAGATCCGGCCACTGCACTCCAGCCTGGGGGACAGAGCGAGACTCCGTCTCAAAAAAAAAAAAAAAAAAAAAAAAAAAGAAACTGAAACTTGTCATTTTTCTCAGTGGACACCCACTCCGTGGAGAGGAGAGATCTGAGGGCTTCGGACAGCAGGAGGGCTGACTGTGGGCCCCGCCCTGATGGCTCCATCGCCCTCATCCCACAGTCCAGGGCCGGAGAGCAAAGAGTCAGGAATGCTTGTTCCCCGGTGCCGTAAAGAAATGGCGCTTGAACATAAATTTAATTTCCTCGGCAGGGCCATTGGTTTACTTTCTGCAGAAAGGGCACACTCACCAGCAGTTCTGCCACGAGAGTACACCGAATAAAGGAGACGGTCATTTCTAACCTGACGCGTCCACCCTGCTTCTGTGTCCCGTTTCTGTTGGCTGGAACGGGACCTCACCTTCTGTATTTGTTCTGATTGGCCGGCAACTTAGAACTTTGTAAAAGAGGCAAAGGCAGAGGAGAGCAAAGGAAGGAGGAAGTAACTTGTGGAATGCTGAGAAAGGTAAAAGCACCTTCAGATAAGGAAGAGGAACAGGCTGTGACCTAATGCCCGCTTGGACCAGCATAAGCGTGCCAGGGCAAATATTTAGGCTACATTGTGGCAACTGAGAATATAAAGTACGTTGATTTAGTACAGCCAGCAGATAGTCAAGAATGTTAGCACAGATCTTTGAATACATTTTGCTTCTAAGAGAAGTTACTATTTATTCCTAATTAGATGGGGAGGAAAGTATAGTATGAAGAGGAACCTCTACTTTACGTTGGACAAAGGGCATTTGGTCTGCCCGCCAGAGACTCCTGTGGTCGGAGGATGGTGGAACGCCCCCCACCCCCCGAAACAGCTCTCATTACCCCCTGCCCAGGGCAACGGCCCTGAGGGACAGGGAGGGCACCCAGCAAGCTCTGCCGGGGGCGGGAAAATGCGAGGGCTTAGTGGTCTCCCTGGTGAGAAGCTTAACCAGGACTCCCCGAAAGCTGTGGGAGAAGTGAGGAAAGATATATAGAGGTCGCCTGGGGAAACACACGGAGAGGTGGCCTGAGCAGGAGGCTGTGCTTTGAGGTGGCCGGGGGCTGAGGAGGGTTGGGAGGGCGGCTGGAAGCGAGGTCAGCAAGGGCTGGAGGTGACAGCCTGGGGGTACTGGGGAGCCATGGGAGAGTTTAGAGCTCTGGAGGCGGCGGTGTCAGAAGGCTCCCTCTGGCGGTCAGGAGGGTAACAGCCTGGGATGCTCGCCCGGGTGGCCGCCACTAGGGGCTCAGCGCGGCTGCAGCGGAGCTGGGCTTGGGAGGGGGCTTCTCCCACGAGGGGAGCTGCGCACTCAGACGGAGACTGGGTCAGGCGGAAGTCCCGGCGGGGCTCGACCCCCAGCACCAAGGCTCAGAAATGAACATGAGAAAAGGGTCTGCGGGCCGGGCGCGGGGCTGGGTCCAGCGGTCCTAGGCAGGTCCATTCCCGCGCAGGCTCCGTCAGGCCTCTGGTAACCGGGGAGACTGGTTGCTAGGAGACCAGGCTAATAAAGGACTCGCTCACTACCCAAATGACAAGCAATCCGGCTTCGTGCCAGAAACGGAGCACTTCCGAGGCAGCCATTTTGGAGTCTGGCAAAATTCAGGATCCAGGCCAAAGACAGGAAAGCCAATCAATATACACAAACAGGGAGGAGAAAAGGGAATGCCGATAAGGACATAGGGAAAGGGGCAGCGGGCCTTTGTCATTTCCCAAAGTTTCCCAGCGGGATCCCAGTGCCCTCTGCCCTTAATCAAGATGGCCGCCTTGGGGCTCTAGCGCACGGTGGAATATGGCGGTGCTTCCGGTCCCGATGCCCTCAGCGAAGATGGCGGCAGTGGAGAAGCGGCGGCCAGCGGTAGCACCACCGGCTGGTTTCACCGACAGCGGCCGCCAGTCGGTATCCCGGGCGGCGGGGGCGGCCGAGAGCGAGGAGGACTTCCTGCGGCAGGTCGGCGTGACGGAGATGCTACGGGCGGCCCTGCTGAAGGTGCTGGAGGCGCGGCCCGAGGAACCGATCGCATTCCTGGCCCACTACTTCGAGAACATGGGCCTGCGCTCGCCTGTAAACGGCGGCGCCGGGGAGCCCCCGGGCCAGCTCCTGCTGCAGCAGCAGCGCCTGGGCCGCGCACTGTGGCACCTTCGCCTGGCCCACCACTCCCAGAGGTGCGCAGCGGGCCGGCTTGGGCGGGTGGGGCGGTGGCGGACTTCAATTCCCAGCATGCCCCGCGCGGCTCCTTACCCGCAGCGCCGGCGCGGGGCCCGGGACGTGCTGGGAGTTGTAGTCTGCGGTGCCTTTTTGGGAGGGATGGACCGGACAAGGTGGGCTGGACGGTCCGGGCTTGGGTCCGGCGCTGGGCAGCGCGCTGCATGCGGCGCGAGTCCTTCTGGCCGGCTTCGCGTCTGTGACGCCTTTTTGCAGGTGCGGAGTTTCACCTTGCAGTTCATGATTTTCAAAATCATGCTATTTACAGAGAGCAGCCCAGTCACCCAGGGCCCCCACCTTAGGGGACAGGCTCCCAGCAGGCAAGTGTGGATTCCTGGAAGAGCCTGGCGATGCGCGGGCCGGGGCAGGGGGGTTGCAGGGAAGAGGCCCAGCAGGTGCAAATTTAGAGCCGGAGTGTGGGACACATGGGAGGCGGGAAGGCCGCGGAGTTTGGCGGAAGCCTGTGGGGCTGCAGGTGCCTATGCACGGTGTCCCCTGGCTGGGGCCAGTTCTGAGCCCAGGAAGGTGGTTGAGGACTATGTGTTAACATTGGGTATGCATGGGCTGCTTTCTTTTTTGTTGGGGGGGGTCCCCAGAAGCGGGGCCTGAGGTAGGCATTTTGTGTACTGGTGATTTTATAAGGGGGTGCACCCAAGAGAACCCAGGAAGGGGGTGGGAAGAGCAGACAGGGAAGGATGCCAAGCAAAGGTGCCCTTGCAGCCTCATAACCAGGGCATAAGCGCCCACCATGGCAGCCCTCACCAGAGTCCCAGAGAAGTTCGGGGTGAGAAGTGAAACGGGGAGTGTCCCCTCCCACCACGGTCACGGTGCACAGCTGTACAAGATCATACTCAGATAAGGGTGGCAGGGTGTTGGGGACCTGGACAAGGAGCAGACTTGCTCCAGTGGCCCAGTGGCTCTGAAGGCCCCGCCCGAGGATTTGCTGGGGCCGGGTGGGAGGGGAGCGGGCAAGGGCAGGCCCGGAGGGTCAGTGGCGCCGTTTACCGCAATGGAAGGTCCCTGGTTTGAAGAAGCTGCCAGAGTCACCTGTGGATTAAGTTAGAGGCTGGAAGGAGCCTAGAAACGGGAAGGTGGACAGAAGTGTCTGCAACTGAGACATGGGGCCAGGACAGGAGACTGGACTGGGAGGGTCCTGAAGGCTTCAGGGGAGCTGAGAAGAGCTCAGAGCCACACTCTGAGGGCAGCCAGCCCAGAGAAGCCACAAGACAGGGTGGGAAAGCGAGACCAGAGGTGAAGGGGGAGCAGGAGGAAGATGGCCTCCCAGGACATCTGGAAGAGAATCTCCCAAGGAGGAAAAGGGTTAAACAGCAGGCCCACCATATATGGTTGTTCAGGTTGATTACTGCACAAGCCACTCACCCCATAGACACTGCAGATGAGGATATTTATATTAATTTCTGAGGGCTGCTGGAACAAATTACCTCCAACTTAGTGGCTTAAAACAACAGAAATTTATTCTCTCAGAAGTCTGAAATTGAGGTGTCAGGAGGGCCACACTCCCTCTGGAGGCTCCAGGGAACGAGCCTCCTTGCCTCCCCAGCTTCCAGTGGCAGCCATCAGGCTTTGGCTTGTGGCCGCATCGCTGCAGTCTCTGCCTCTGTTGTCACGTGGCCTCCTCTGTGTCTCTGTGCTGTATTCCCTCATAATGTCACCACTAGGCCCCACCCTACTTCAGTGTGACCTCCACCATCTACATCTGCTGTCCCAAATAAGCTCTCGGTCTGAGGTTCTGGATGGGCGTGAGCCTGGCGGGCACCAGTCACCCCAGGACAGGAGCAGAGCCGTTGTCTGGAAGAGTTCTCATAGCAGGGAGTCAGGACAAGGGCGGTGCAGATGCATCCCGGCCCTGGGCTGGCCTGGGCTCCCCAGAGACACAGCCAGTGGGGAAGGTGGAAGACAGGTGCGCAGGCCTGAGCAGCATCTGATTCTGCGCTCGCAGAGCCAGGCCTGCTCCCGTCCTCCCCGCGGGCAGCTCTGGCTGCCCCTCCGTCCTTGGACCGTCAGGAACCCCTGAGGTCACCCGGCCGGTCGGGAAGAGAAGCCCAGAGCTTGGCAGGTTTGTCCCCACTCAGTCCAGCGTGTGGACCCTCAAAGGCTGCAGGGCTGACTGGGCTGCTCCTGAGAGCGTCACCGCGGTAGACTGGGGGAGAAGTCACCCCACATCCCCTCTGCCACCTTCTTTTGAGAAATGGCCGGCTCCGGCCACCCGGGCTGGTGATGGGGCCACAGCGTCCCCCTCCTGCCACCTTCCTGGTCGTCTCCAAGGCCCCCGGAGCACACACACAGACGTTCCATGACTTGCTGAAGGCCACACGGCCACCCAGGGCAGAGCTGGGCTCAGAAGCCGCAGAGGGCAGCCCCGAGGCCTCCTGAGCCCCCGCGTTGCTCGTCGTAGCAGCCAGGACTGCGCTGCCCCCTGCAGGTCACGGCCGGGAAAACGTGCACGGAAACCAAGCCGCGGCCGATCTGGGCCAGGGTCCCCGGACTCCTTCTCCGGGGGCCCGTCCTGGGCACTGCAGGGCCCTGAGCAGCGTCCCCGGCCTCCACCCACTCCTCGCCAGGAGCTCCCCGAGTCGTGACAACCACAGATGTCCCAGTCACCGCCCGGCATCTGCTGGGGGCAAGAGTGGGAAGCCGAAGTCTGAAGTGAGGAGGGGCTCCTGCATCTCTTTCTGGAGACTTTCCATAAATAGATCTTTCCTGTATTAACAAATGCTCACATGCCTTACAAACCGCTCTGTGTAGGAGCCGACACAGACAGAGCCCTGGCTGGCCTCCCACTCTCCATTTTGCAATCAGGGAAACCAAGGCCCAGAGGCCACCGTCACAGGCAGAGCTGACATTCCAGCCCCGCCTCCTCCCAGCCCAGAGCTTGCTGCCTTCCTCCTCCTCCTCCTCCTCCTCCTCCTCCATCACCCAGTGATTCTGCTGGGAGCCGGTACGCGGCTGCCTTGAAGTCAGCTGTCACCTTCCTGCCTCTTGCCGTCATCATGGCTGTGATCTCACCAGGATGTAATTACCTTTTTGAGCGTCTTCCTGCCCCTGGAGGCAGCTGTGGCAGAGCTGCAGCCCTAATTACAGCCCGAAATAAGCGCAGGTGGGGCCTCCCACACGTCCTGAGCACCTGGCTCCAGCCCTGTTCTCCCGTCCTCACAAGAACCCCCACAACGTAGATGCACAAGGTCAGGCGCAGAAAAGCAGGGCGCACACATCGGGAGGGGCAGACGAACACCGGAGGCAGGTCTGGGCCGGGCACAGAGCCCTGCGCACCGAGGGGCCGCGTGGATGCCTGGGGAGCCGGACGAGGGCTGCCGCCCCCAGAGAGGAGAGAATTCATGCAGAAGTGGTGGTGGATGGAGCTGGCTAATCCTGGCCCACAGACCTGTCAGTCAGGAGAAGCCGTGGGCACCACAGGAACCAACAACCCCAAACCTCAGTGGCTTCAACACAACCAAAACTCCTCTCGCTTCCTCTGCAGGGGACGGCCAGTTGTTGGGTTTTTGTTTTTTATTTTTTTGAGACGGAGTCTGGCTCCGCCGCCCAGCCTGGAGTGCAGTGGCGTGATCTCGGCTCACTGCAACCTTCGCCTCCCGAGTTCGAGCGATTCTCCTGCCTCAGCCTCCTGAGTAGCTGGGACTACAGGCGCCCGCCACCTCGCCCGGCTAATTTTTTTTGTATTTTTAGTAGAGACGGGGTTTCGCCATGTTGGCCAGGCTGGTCTTGAACTCCTGACCTCAAGTGATCCACCTGCCTTGGCCTCCGAAAGTGCCGGGATTACAGGCATGAGCCACGGCGCCTGGCCCAGTTTTCTTTTTTGAGCTGGGGTCTTGCTCTGTCACCTAGGCTGCAGTGCATTGGTGTAATCCCAGCTCACTGCAGCCTCGACCTCCTGGGCTCAAGGGATCCTCCCACCTCAGCCTCCCAAGTACCCGGGACAGACGCACACCTGGCTGATTTTTAAATTTGTGTAGAGACGGGATCTCACTATATTGCCCAGACTGGTTTCGAACTCCTGGCTCAAGCAGTCCTCCCGCCTCAGCCTCTCAAAGTGCTGGGCTCACAAGCATAAGCCACTGCACCCCCCACCAAGGGCTTGTTTGATCCTGACACGCACCTGCAATCCTGACAACAGAAGTGGACTGGGAAGTAGCTTGATGGCTCTTAAAATTCCCGCTGAAAGTGGGCCACGCCCCTTGCGCATTTCAGGGGCAAAGCAAGGCCCAGAGGCTCACCCTCGGTGGGGTGGAGAAGTGGCGGGTGGAGAAGTGGCAGAGGGATCCGCAGAGCAGCGCTACCTTCGCGAGCCTTCGAGATGCCCGTGCGAGCCTCAGCTCCCAGGTTTCACGCCCTGGCGCCGCCCCCTCCCCCTGCACAGCCGGAATGGGACTGCTGAAGCACCGGACGGAGTGTGGCCTTCCGAGGCGCGTCACGAAGGACATCGTGGTGTCCCCCTCCCTCCTGGGTGGGTTGCTGGCTCGGCCGGGCAGCCGCCACGCAGTGGGGTCGCTCGCGCAGCTCCCAGGGAGCACCTGCAGCTGCTGCCAAGTGCCCCGTGGGCTCCCCTGCGGGGGAGGGGGCCGCCTCACGTCCAGCCCGGGGGACTGTGGCCACGGCCACCTCATGAGAGACCCCAAGCCAGAGCCTTGCAGCAGAGCCTCACAGCAGAGCCGCCGCCGAGACACTGTGACAATAGTACACGCTTGTTGTTTTTAGGACGCTAGGTTTGGAGTGTGGTTGGGAGGCGGCAGCAGCCTGCCCGGCCTCACAGCGGATCCTGATGAGATGTGTCATGCGGAGGTGTCAGCCGGACTCGCGGCGGTGGAGTCAGGCGTGATGGGAGCGCGCTGCTGCGCCGACACTGCGCCTGCCCTGAGCGCATTTTGGGGATGACCTCATGGATGGTAAAAGCGCTCAGCAGATTCTAAGTGGGGCCTTTACTGCTTGGGAGGGAAAAGGAGCCTACAGCCAGATGCGCCTACGGTTGAATTGCAGGTCGCTGCCCTCCAACTCTGGGCCTCAGTTTCCTCCTCCATAGCGGGGCTTTGACCCTCGAGCTCACTGGGATGGCACGTCCATCCCTAAGCCCTGAACTGAGCAGCAGTGATGACCAGGGAGGCTCGTGTTCACCAAGCACGCACCGTCCACCAGCCCAGCATTCCTGAGCACCCACCGCGTACCGGCCCGGCATTACTGAGCACCCACCGCGTACCGGCCCGGCATTACTGGCAGCACCTACTGTGTACCGGCCCTGCATTACTGAGCACCTATTGCACGCCAGTCTTGTATTACTGAGCACCTACTGCACACCAGCCTAGCTTTACTGAGCACCTACTGCACACCAGCCCCAGATTTACTGAGCACCTACTGCATGCTGGCCCTGCATTTACTGGGCACCCACTACATACCGCCCCAGCATTACTGAGTACCTACTGTGCACTATCCCTGCATTACTGAGCACCTACTGCATACCAGTCCCACATTTACTGAGCACCTATTGCATGCTGGCCCAGCATTTACTGAGCACCCACTGCACATTGCCTCAGCATTACTGAGCACCTACTGTGCACTAGCCCTGCATTACTGAGCACCTACTGCATACCAGTCCCACATTTACTGAGCACCTATTGCATGCTGGCCCAGCATTTACTAAGCACCCACTGCACACCACCCTGGCATTACTGAGTACCTACTGTGTACCGGCCCTGCATTCACCGAGCACCTGCTGTACACCAGCCCTGTATTACTGAGCACCCACTGCACACCAGCCCCACGTTTACTGAGCACCTATTGCATGCTGGCCCAGTAGCACTGAGCATCTATTGTGCACCAGCCCTGCATTACTGAGCACCTACTGCACGCTGGCTCACATGCATCTACCACAGGTGGCCCACAGAAAGGTGAAACCATGTGCCCAGGTCACGCCAGAGGGAGGCTGCAGCCTCAATGTAAACCTGCCCTTCTCACTATGAAGCTGAGCTCCCAGAAGGAACAAGCATAAGTCCTGAGGTTGGCCACTTCCTCTCTGGGACCCTTGGCCAGACCATGGGGCTGCCCTGAGCCTCAGTTTCCCTATATGTCCCAGAGGAAGTAACAGGCCACTAGCATGAGGCCTGCCCGGGAACTGATGGGGAAGTGAGGCCCAGGGGTTTGCAGCCCACCCAGGGTCCTGCAGTGGCCCCGATGCTGGCCATGGTGCTCCCTGGCCACTCCCTGGTGCCCTCCATGGGAGCATCCGAGTCACACTAGCAGCACACGAGTGGCCTGGAGTAAGGCCTCAGGTTCCTCCCTGAGGCAAGGAATCGAACCCACCCCAGAGCCAGCAGCAGGGCCGACAGCCTTCTTCTATAAGGGGTCAGTGAACATTTCAGCTTTGCGTGGCAGCCTCCATCCTGACATTCAGCTCTATGGTTCCGGTCTGAAGCTGCCACAGGCCACATGTCAGTGGACTGACGTGGTTACCTTTCGATAAAGGTTTATTATTTATTTATTTTTTGTTTTTTTTGAGATGGCGTTTCGCTCTTTTTGCCCAGGCTGGAGTGCAATGGTGCGATCTCGGCTCACCGCAACCTCCGCCTCCCGGGTTCAAGCGATTCTCCTGCCTCAGCCTCCCATGTAGCTGGGATTACAGGCGTGCACCATCACGCCTGGCTAATTTTGTATTTTTAGAAGAGACGGGGTTTCTCCATGTTCGTCAGGCTGGTCTTGAACTCCCGACCTCAGGTGATCCACCCGCCTCAGCCTCCCAAAGTGCTGGGATTAAGGCGTGAGCCACCGCGCCAGGCCCGATAAAAGTTTATTTAGAAAAGCAGGCAGCAGGTCAGTTTGACCCTCAGGCTGACTGTGGGGCCTTGCCTGTGAGATTATGGGGGGAGAGAGATCTACCCGTTGGCTCTGTGCAGCAGCTCTCACCTGTAATCCCAGCAGTTTGGGAGGCTGAGGCAGGAGGATCGCTTGAGCCCAGGAGGTGGAGGCTGCTGTGAACCCCGATTACACCACTGCACTCCAGCCTGGACAACACAGTGAGACCCTGTCTCAAAAAAAAAAAAAAAAGGAAAAATGAAATGTCAGCTGTGTTAAATGTTCAGCACAGGCCGGGCACGGTGGCTCACGCCTGTAATCCCAGCACCCTGGGAGGCCGAGGCGGGTGGATCACAAGGTCAGGAGATCGAGACCATCCTGGCTAACACGGGGAAACCCCGTCTCTACTAAAAATACAAAAAATTAGCCAGGCGTAGTGGTGGGAGCCTGTGGTCCCAGCTACTCGGGAGGCTGAGGCAGGAGAATGGTGAGAACCCGGGAGGCGGAGGTTGCAGTGAGCCGAGATCGCGCCGCTCACTCCAGCCTGGGCGACAGAGCGAGACTCCGCCTCAAACAAAAAAAAGAAAAGAAGAAAAGAAACGCCAGCTGTGCTAAGCGTTGAGCACGGTGTTTGGCCAGGTGTAAGCGGGCGCCGCTGCAGGGAGGTAGACAGAGGGTCCCGGTGTGGCTGGACGAAGCGGGCGCCGCTGCAGGGAGGTAGACAGAGGGTCCTGGTGTTGCTGGAGGAAGCGGGCGCCGCTGCAGGGAGGTAGACAGAGGGTCCTGAGGGTCCTGGTGTTGCTGGACGAAGCCTGGAGAGACCGAAGAAGGTTCAGGAGAGTTTTCCAAGCTGATCACCGGCTCAGCCGGACAGACGTCCAGAAAGTCCGAGCCCCGAACAAAGGGCTTTTCCTACTTTTAAAACAGCTTAAAGCAGGAACTACGTGAGGCGGGAAGCAAGTTACAGAAGCGAGAAACAAAGGCAGGTAATCAAGTACTACCGCATTTCTTTTTTTTATTTTATTTTATTTTTTAATTTTTATTTATTTTTTTTTTTGAGACGGAGTCTCGCTCTGTAGCCCAGGCTGGAGTGCAGTGGCCGGATCTCAGCTCACTGCAAGCCCCGCCTCCCGGGTTCACGCCATTCTCCTGCCTCGGCCTCCCGAGTAGCTGGGACTACAGGTGCCGCCACCGCGCCCGGCTAGTTTTTTTGTATTTTTTAGTAGAGACGGGGTTTCACCGTGTTAGCCAGGATGGTCTCGATCTCCTGACCTCGTGATCCGCCCGCCTCGGCCTCCCAAAGTGCTGGGATTACAGGCTTGAGCCACCGCGCCCGGCCCTCTTTTTTTTATTTTTTGAGATAGAGTCTCGCTCTGTCACCAGGCTACAGTGCAGGGGCACGCTCCTGGCTCTCTGCAGCCTCTGCCTCCCGGGTTCAAGCGATTCTCCCGCCTCAGACTCCCAAGTAGCTGGGATTACAGACACGCACCACCACGCCCAGCTAGTTTTTATATTTTGAGTAGAGACAGGTTTTCACCATGTTGGCCAGGATGGTCTCAATCTCTTGACCTCGTGATCCACCCACCTCGGCCGCCCGAAGTGCTGGGATTCCAGGCGTGAGCCAGCACGCCCTGCTAACATTTCTTACATCTTGAGAAAAACATGTCTTACAGCCTAAACTTATCGGTCTTGTGACCCTGCAGCCATGCTAGGGAGGTAAGCAGGAACTCGCTGGGCCTGTAATAAACTGAGGAATGTGGAGTTGGAGAGTATAGATAAGGTCCACTGACTACAGAGAGAAAACTGGCTGTTAACATTCTCTTTTAACTTGAGTGTAAGGGGTGGTCACACTTTGCAGCAACTTTAAGAGGATTTTTAAATTTCTATTACTACTACTATTCGGTTAGAGTTGACTTCATTAATTCCTTCTTCACAGGGGCCAGATGCCCCAGACAGACGCCTGTAGGTTGATTCAACAGACATTTACTGAGCACCTACTGTGTGCAGGGCAGCGTTCCAGGCAGCAGGGCTGTAACCAAGAGGAACTTCCGGCCCTGGGGGGCAGGTGCTCACGCCCTGGTGGGAGACGTGAAGCTCACAGGGATGTGGGACAGGGAGTGACACAGGATGACCACGAGGAAGAAAACAGGAGGAGAGGAGTTAGGGGTCAGGGGAGGCAACGTTTGAGGGGAGACCTGGAGGAGACCAGGGAGGAGGTGAGGGAGATGTGGGGGAAGGCAGTGTCACTGCCCTTGCAGAGGTCCTGAGGCCGGTCGGTAGTTGAAGCTGGGAAGCCAGGGCTGGATGGGAGCTGCGGGGAGGAGAGGCCTGAGCTGGGTGGAGGCTGGGAGGAGGCTGGGAGGAGGGAGGCCAGGCTGGGTAGGGGCTGGGAGGAGGGAGCCCTGGGCCGGGGGGTGCTGGGAGGAGGGAGGCCAGGCTGGGTGGGAGCTGGGAGGAGGAGGCCCAGGCTGGGGGTGCTGGTGGGGATGGGAGGCCCGGGCTGGCTGGGGGCTGGGAGGAGGGAGCCCTCGGCTGGCTGGGGGCTGGGAGGAGGGAGCCCTCGGCTGGCTGGGGGCTGGGAGGAGGGAGCCCTCGGCTGGCTGGGGGCTGGGAGGAGGGAGCCCTCGGCTGGGGGGTGCTGGGAGGAGGGAGGCCAGGCTGGGTGGGGGCTGGGAGGAGGGAGGCCTGGGCTAGTGATGCTGGAGGGAGGAGAGGCCCAAGCTGGGAAGGGGCTGGGAGGAGGGAGGCCGGGGCTCAAGAGGGGAGCTGCAGGGACAGAGGGTAAAGAGGAGGGGAGTCTGGGACTGGCTGGGGGTTCGGGGAGGCTGGGACATGGGCCTGGCTGGAAGGGGAGGCTGGGTCTGGATGGGCGCGAGGGCTCTGCCAGACCCCCAACGTCCACGTCCCCGTCCCCGCAGGGCCGCCTTCAACAACAACGTGAGCGTGGCCTACGAGTGCCTGAGCGCCGGCGGGCGCAGGAAGAGGCCAGGGCTGGACGGACGCACCTACAGCGAGCTGCTCAGGCGCATCTGCCGGGACGGCCAGGCCCCCGAGGAGGTGGTGGCGCCGCTGCTGCGCAAGGTGCAGTGCCGTGACCACGAGGCGGTGCCGCTGAGCGTCTTCCGCGCGGGCACGCTCACCTGCTTCGTGCTGCTGGAGTTCGTGGCGCGCGCCGGCGCGCTCTTCCAGCTGCTGGAGGACCCGGTCGCCGCCGTGGCCGACCGCCGCGTGGGCCAGGCCGTGCTGGACACCCTGGAGGGCGCGCTGCAGGCCAGTGACGCCGCCGCGCCCGCGCGCTTCCTGGAGGCCGGCTCGCGCCTGGGGCCCGACAGCCTGGCGCTGGCGCTGGACCGCGCCGTCGGGGGCCGGCGGCCCAGGGCGCCCATGACCCGCGAGGAGTTCCTGGAGAGGGCGGCCGCGCTCTTCATCGCCAAGGTCAAGCCGGTGGGCTGAGCCCCGTGCGCCGCGCGGATCCGGGATCTGCACTGGGGGGGTCCCCGCGTGCCGGGCGCGCGGAGCCTTCCCCTCGCCCCGGTGAGGGCCTGCAACGAGGCGCCCAGCCCTGCGGAGGAGGCCGGGGCTCCCAGGAAGCGGACGCCCCCTCCCCAAACACCGTCGCGGCCGCCCCTCCGCCCCCGCAGGAGCCCCTGCCCCGCGCTAATAAAATCCGTTGCGAGGCTGACACTGGTGTGTGCGCGCCCACCTCCCAGCCCCGGTGCCCACCTCCCGGCCCCCGCGCCCGCCTCCCGGCCCCGGCGCCCGCCTCCCGGCCCCGGCGCCCGCCTCCCGGCCCCCGCGCCCGCCTCCCGGCCCCGGCCCCGGCGCCCGCCTCCCGGCCCCCGCGCCCGCCTCCCGGTCCCCGCGCCCGCCTCCCGGCCCCGGCCCCCGCGCCCGCCTCCCGGCCCCGGTGCCCGCAGAAGACGCTTTTCCCCAGCGGGCCCCCCACGGCTCCGGAATTGCGGCGGCTGGAGGCTGGATTCGAGGCCAGAAACGCCGGGACCCCTGGACCCGGCCTGGTGGGAGCAGCGGAGGGGGACGCCCTACGGGGCCCTGCGGAGCCTGAGGCCGGAGGGCAGGTGGCTCTTCTGGACCGCAGGGCCCAGGCCCTCCAGCCGCGCCTGCCCCAGGTATCCTCCCTGGGCCTCAGTCTCCCCAGATGTCAAACGAAGAGGCCAGCTGGGCAGATGGTAGCGACATTGGTGAGATAACAGCCCCGACACTTCCCAGCAACTGACATGCCTCATGTGATTGATTCCCAGGCCCACCCTCAGCAAGGGCTTGGCTGGGATCTGCGCCCAGGCCTGCAGAACGCACAGGACCTCCCACTCGCCACCGGTACCCCCCAGTGCCCCACCCCACCAACAACCAGAATCACTTCTCAGACTGAAAAAGCGAATCCAGCCAGGCGCGGTGGCTCACGCCTGTAACCCCAGCACTTTGGGAGGCTAAGGCGGTGGGTCACTTGAGGTCAGGAGTTCGAGACCAGCCTGGCCAACATAGTGAAACCCCGTCTCTACTAAAAAAAAAAAAAAAAAGCTGGCTGTGGTGGCGGGTGCCTGTAATCCCAGCTGCTCAGGAGACTGAGGCAGGAGAATAACTTGAACCCAGGAGGCAGAAGTTGCAGTGAGCCAAGATTGAGCCACTACAATCCAACCTGGGCGACAGAACGAGACCCTGTCTTAAAAGAAAAACAAAACAAAACAAAACCGACCGAGCGCAGTGGCCCACGCCTGTAGTCCCAGCACTTTGGGAGGCCGAGGTGGGAGGATCACGAGGTCACGAGATTGAGACCATCTTGGCTAACATGGTGAAACCCCGTCTCTACTAAAAAAAAAATGCAAAAAAATTAGCCAGGCGAGGTGGCGGGCGCCTATAGTCCCAGCTACTCCGGAGGCTGAAGCAGGAGAGTGATGTGAACCCAGGAGGCGGAGCTTGCAGTGAGCGGAGATCGCGCCACTGCACTCCAGCCTGGGCGACAGAGCAAGACTCTGTCTCAAAAAAAAAAAAAAAAAAGTGAATCTGGAATGCGAACGGTTGCTGGCAGGTGACGTCACTCCCTTGGCCTCAGTCTCTCCTGTTAAATGGGAGGGGGTCCCACCGGACGTAGGGAACACGCAAGCTGTTTCTCCCCTGCTCTCACCACCACGTCACAGTCGTCCACACAGAAAAGGGTTCTGTGACCGCACGTGGGAGCGACGGACGCCAGCTGGGTGTCCTCTTAATTCAGCTCCAACACCTTCTACCCAAAGATAGCGTCAGATCCCACAGGTCGAGGGCTCAGTGCCCAAGCCTGCTCTCTCTTCAGACACCAGCTGCCAATCTGGGCTTCTGGCTGACCGGGCTCGATCTGGGGTTCCCACCACCCCTTTGGATTTGATTTGCTGGAGCAGCTCACGGAACTCGGAAACACTTGTGTTTCGTGGTTGACTATAAAGGATGTGGCAAAAGATAACAGAGGAAGGGACACACAGGGAGGTATGGGTAGGGCTTCCAGTGCCGTGAGGACGCGCAGGGCGCCATCTCGGAGCTTCCAGGCATCTCTACGTGTTCAGCTCTTGGAAGCTCCCCAGAACCCAGTTCTCTAGGGTTTTGTGGGGTTTTGTTTGTTTGTTTGCTTGTTTGTTTTTGAGACAGTCTTGCTCTGCCGCCCAGGCTGGAGTGCAGTGGCACGATCTCGGCTCACTGCAACTTCCACCTCCCTGATTCAAGCGATTCTTCTGGCTCAGCCTCCCGAGTAGCTGGGACTACAGGCGCCCGCCACCTCGCCCGGCTAGTTTTTTTGTATTTTTTGTAGAGACGGGGTTTCACCGGGTTAGCCAGGATGGTCTCGATCTCCTGACCTCGTGATCCGCCCGTCTCGGCCTCCCAAAGTGCTGGGATTACAGGCTTGAGCCACCGCGCCCGGCCTGCTTGTTTGTTTTTGAGACAGAGTCTTGCTCTGCCGCCCAGGCTGGAGTAGAGTGGCACGATCTCGGCTCACTGCAACCTCCACCTCCCTGGTTCAAGCGATTCTTCTGGCTCAGCCTCCTGAGTAGCTGGGATTATAGGCGCCCGCCATCACACCCCGCTAACCTTTGTATTTTGAGTAGAGATGGGGTTTCACCGTGTTGACCAGGCTGGTCTCAAGCTCCCGACCTCGGTGATCCACCCGCCTCGGTCTCCCAAGTTGCTGGGATTACAGGCGTGAGCCGCCGTGCCCGGCCCACAGTAATGTTTCCACTCCCCGCTCCAGAGGCAGATGGAGAGGTGGAACCCGCATCCCCTCTGGGACTGGAGCTCCTTCCAAGGCTGGGTCACAGCAGGGCCACAGCAGGACGCTCACCCTCTGGACGGGGCACCAGCTCTGGTGCCTACGCTGACGGGCTCCTGCTGTGCAGACTCAGGAGCCGAATAAATGACAGTTGTGGTTGTAGGCTACTAAACTTGGGGCGACATGTTATGCAGCAATGGGCAATAAATATTAATGAAAGGTGCCCACTCCATCCATAGCTGCTGTTAGGCTATGACAGTAGCCGCTTACAGGTCATATGCCAGAGCATTTTGGGTGAGCCTGGGCTGGGGGCTGAGCAGCAGGACACAAAACACAGGAGAGGCCCCTGTCCTCCCAAAGCCCAGAGCCAGGCAGGCTGAGGTCGGCTTAAATCCTGGATACCGGGACGGGACGCAGGGCACAGAGGCCTCCAGGAGTAACCAATCAGAGGACACCAAAGCTGGCCCCAGGGTGCAGCTCAGGCTCCACCCCGGTCCCTTCAGGCCAAGGCCGACCAAAACCCACCTCCCCTGCCCTTCCCAGCTCCCCGGGGCCTCCCCGATCCCTGACCCTGTGCCGCCTGTTGCGCCTGCCCTCAGGTCCTGCGGGCCCTGTCTGTCCGGATCCTGACGTGACCCTCGCCAGTGCAGCCGGGAAGCTGAGCCGTCTTCCCTGGCCTCTCAGCAGCGTAGAGCACAGCAACCCCCTCTGGCAGCACCCGCAGCTCCTGCCCCACCCACAGCCCCCTTGGAGGCTTCCTCTCTCTGCAGGTCTTCTGGTGGCTCCGTCCACGGCCTCCCCTCCTCTCGAGTCCTCCTCCCCTCCTGGTGGCTCCGTCCACGGCCTCCCCTCCTCCCGAGTCCTCCTCCCCTCCTGGTGGCTCCGTCCACGGCCTCCCCTCCTCCCGAGTCCTCCTCCCCTCCTGGTGGCTCCGTCCACGGCCTCCCCTCCTCCCGAGGGTCCTCCTCCCCTCCTGGTGGCTCCGTCCACGGCCTCCCCTCCTCCCGAGGGTCCTCCTCCCCTCCTGGTGGCTCCGTCCACGGCCTCCCCTCCTCCCGAGGGTCCTCCTCCCTCCTGGTGGCTCCGTCCACGGCCTCCCCTCCTCCCGAGGGTCCTCCTCCCCTCCTGGTGGCTCCGTCCACGCCCCCCCTCCCGAGGTCCCCTCCCTCCTGGTCCCGTCCACGGCCTCCCTCCCCGAGGGTCCTCCTCCCCTCCTGGTGGCTCCGTCCACGGCCTCCCCTCCTCCCGAGGGTCCTCCTCCCCTCCTGGTGGCTCCGTCCACGGCCTCCCCTCCTCCCGAGGGTCCTCCTCCCCGGCTCACCAGGCTTCAGTTACGGCCTGGTGGCCAAGGATTCTCAAATTCGCATCTGGGTCCCCGGCGCTGATCTGCCCCAGCCCAAACACCGCCCCTTGGGCATCCCTTTGAGGACATCCCAGGCCTGACACATCCAAGGTGGAGTTTCTGGCCAGCTCCCTGGACCCTGAGCTCCTTCAGAGATTCTGGTCTCTGTGGACGCCTCACCGAATCCATCTGAGCACTGAGGCCACGGCAAGACCCTTTCCGGGCTCCACAGTGGCCCTCGCCGCACCTCTGGACGGCATCCTGAGCACCCTGCCTGCCCTCCCTTCACCGCTCCTGGCTGGTCCAGCCAACACTCTCGCCCACCCAGACCCCCACCCCCGTTAGCCAGTCAGACCATTCCCTCCCCTAGCCTCAGCGACGGGTTCAGAGAAACCCCGCTGGCCAGTCAGATGCAGCCCGGGAGCTGCTTCTGGGAGCGCAGTGCTGGGCGGCCGCGTTGGGTGGATGGGCCGGACTCTCTGGCCATCACTGCTGCCACGTCTGGGAATAAAGCCGGCACTCAGGACAGCTGAGCAGGAGGCTCCCCAGCTTCTCCTCACCTCTGTCGCGCACTCACCGCCCAGACCCTGGGCCTCTAGCCAGTCGGGCTGTCCCCACCTCAGGGCCCCTGGACATGCTGTTCCCTCTCCCTGCAGCACTGTTCCCGCAGACCTGCCTGCTGCTTCCCCACTCCACCTGGTCTCTGCTCAAATGTCACCTCCTGAGTCCGAGATGCCCTCCTACACCATCCCAGTGGCTCTCTAGGCCCTGGCATTCTTTAGAAACTGCTTATTTATGTCTTTATCTGCTGGTTGGTGGCCTCTTTCCCTGTGAACCCAAGGGCAAGAAGTTTGCTTCTTTTGTTCACTGCTGAATCCCCAGAACCTAGATTTGCACATGGAAGGGAAGGAAGAGAAGGAGAGGGAAGGAGGGCAAGGGAAGGGGAAGGGAATGGAAGGGGACAGGAGGGGAGTGGAGGGGAGGGGAGGGGAAGGGAGGGGAAGGGAGGAGAGGGAGAGGAGAGGAGGAGGGGAGGGAGGAGGGGAAGGAAGGGGAGGGGACAAGAGGGGGAGGGGAGGGGAGAGAAAAG